ATATACATACACACATACACACACACACACACACACACACACACACACACACACACACATATATATTTTTCTTTTTTTGACAGGGTCTCTCTATGTCACAATCCTGCTTCAGCCCTCCAAGTGGCTGAGATCACAGGCACACACCACTATATCTGGCTTTGTAGGTTGGGTGGGGAATCAAACTCTGGCCTGCATGCGGCCTCTGTCTGAGCAGCAGCAACTACTAGCACAAACTACTGTGACTGCGGTCATGCTATACTTCTTGTTCATTATATTTTCTCTACTGGTAAATCTTTTTCTATGCTATCTGTTTTGCAAAGGCTTCCCTATTATTATTTCACGCCCTTTCATCTCTCCTTTAAAATTTTCCCCTTTGGAATTCTGATTTATGGAATTCTGGAAAACATAGTTTCCTCTTGACTGTACTTCAACTAAACCAGAAGACAAAGTAGTAGTACATGTAAGGTTAAATGGTTGCGCTCCCCCCTCTGCAGGAAAGAGAAACAAGCAACAACATCCCTTAGATTTCCTCTACTTGGACAAGTATAGTTGGAGATAAAACAATTAACTAAGCCCAGAATAGAAAAAGGCCTCAGGATATATATAAAAAGCACAAACTAAATTTTATATTTTATATTTAAAAAAAAAATACTTTAGAAAATTATCTTACATTTAAAAATGGATGTTGTGAGCGGATAAAATTGGTAGATACAATACAAATATTATATAATTTAATTTTTTATCAAATTCCTATTTTAATGCCAAAACCTAATTATTCCTATCATCTTGAAAAATGGAAAAAAAATTTTAGTGCTATCACAATAATTCTCTACATAACAAGAAATGTTAAAACTATACCAAAAAACTGCAAGCTTTGGGACACAATGCATATTAAAAAAATAAACTTTTTCTTAAGTGGGTTATTTTTGTTTTAAAAGATTGTAGCTTACTGAACTTAAAAGTTATTGTGGCTGGATCTATATATCTAAATTAGATTTGACCAACAGTTTTTATTTGTTAAATAATAAATGAATACAATTTATCTTAGTCAGCTTCGAATTCTATAAATGGCAGGGAACATGTAAGAAACACATGTCTCCTTAAGAGGTAGTTTTCATAAACAATAGTAAAATGGTAAACAGTAAAACAGAACCACTGAATTTTTTTCATGCTTGTCCAATTCTAATGCATAGTTCCATTGTATTAGCATGTTTGCAGCTAAAACAACAGAGCTTTACATTTCCCAATACGTGAACAGATTTTTATCTCCTACCATTGTTCGAATCTTCCTTGAAATGTGCAACTCTTATGCTTGACACCAACTAGGTTTTTAATAAATATGTAATTGCAAGTGAATAAAGCTAAGTGGCATTCTGTGTCATTTAAATGCTGGTAAAGGAGAAGAAAGGAAAGTTGGACATTATTTTAATCATGTAGGCTTGGTGTTAATTAGATAAACCAATAGTTTCCCAAATTTGTACTTTAAAAGTCATATGCAAACGTGAAAAGGGGTTACTGTTATTTGGTTAAAGAAAAAAAAAATGGCTATGCTTGGTTGTGGAGAACCAGTCTTTTCCACTAATAGCAGTGGTATTTTAACTTTGTTTGTGGCCATGTGTGGGGATTGGTTTCAAAATCCTTTACTACAAATAGGGGCTCCCTAGAGTGCAATCTCTAAGGAGTATGATAAAAAATCTAATAATACTCTTTAGAGGTGATGCAATGTGGCTGATTGAGAAGGTCAAGAAAAATCTCATTTCAGATGACCTTATTGTTTGGTCGTTTGGCTTGACATTTTTAGCCCCAAATTGGTTTTTGTAATTAAAGAACACAATAGCTTTAGTCTTCAAGAAATATTGAATGGGAAATCTAAAAGAAAGTGCTGTAATTCAATCTATCACCTGCCCAATCAAGACCCTGCTTGAGTAGGAGCACTTAGAACTTTCATTCTAAGTTAAGTGCACAAGTCCAACTAGATTATGGTATTTCATATTAGAGGAAAACATCAACAGCAAGTATGGAATTTTGGGAGATAATTCCACCTTGATACTGTTTAAACGAAAAGTACCATTTCAATGTGACCTATAAAAACTGTTAAGAGCACAAAATGAATCAATCCCTTTTAAAGAAACATTCAGTGAAATTTGGATTGACATTGTAAATAAAATAAGAAAAGATGAGGAAGCACCAAACAACATTCACATTCACATTGTGGGACAGAACACAAGTATTTTATTGCTCTTTCTTGCTAGTTGCTAATGTGCTAACAAAGGGACAAGAACAATGGCATGAACAGGAGGGTATAACCAAGCATTGTCTGTCTGCCACTTATATTGAAAGACAGGGACACCACTGCAAGATCAGAGGCTTTATCTAAGGGTCTTGTTAGAGCAAAGGGGTTCATGTTCTATGATGTATTAAAAAGTGGCAGAGGGGAATGGTGTAATTTCTCTTTACACTCTTTTTAAAAACACTGCTTTTCGTTGATAATCTTCATTTGTGTCTAACCATTATACATGTATGCATGTGCATACCCATGTGTGTGTATGTATATATGCTTATTCATGTATATTTTATATATGTACATACAGTCAGACATGTAAAAAATGTCAGCTCCAGACTAGATCATTTTTGTTTTTGAGTAGTAAGGTACTATTTGAGCTATACTGCAAGGAAGGTAACTAGCAAATATGAAAGGCATAGCTAAAATGTCCCATGTACCCTGAAAGCTAGGTGGTGAAAGAAGAGATACAAAGCTTTGAACGTTACCACCCCTCAAAGTACTTACCACTGTGAAGTTCTTTTCTGCTTCAAGCACATTTATTACCATCTTTGGGACACTAACTGAATTCAAATTTTTTCCAACACCTGTTATTGTGCTCCCACCACTGGCAAAATAAAATAGAGACATGGCAATTTTGAGTGGTTCTTTTCATGATTTTAAGATAGAGGTTCGATTTAATCACAGGTAGTGATTTCAAATTAGAGGCATAGCCAAAGTCAAACAGAAATTCAGGGGTAACTCTTTTTTGGGAATAACTTATTTAACTTTAAGACATTTAAAAAAAAAATTCTTATTTCTGGGACCAGCAGATGATGTGATGGCTACATTGTTGGACTCCCATGTAGTCAACCACAGTTCGAGTCCCGGACCCGGTGGCTTATGCTGGGTGAGTGTGGGTGCGTGTGTGTGCTTGCCCAACATCCCGAGAGGAGAATGGAGGAGAAGGGATTGCTGCAATGGCCACCCCCCCACCTCAGGGAGTGATTTCTCACTTTTTGTCTCTCTGTCTCTCTCTGTTTTTCTGGTGAGCGCACATGCCCTATAGCAAAAACCTCTCCAAAAAAAAAAAAAAATTCTTATTTCATGGTGCTCGGCATATGGCACTGCAGCTATGTTGCTGGACTCCCACATGACTAACTGTGGTTCAAGTCCCAGATCTGGTGGCTTGAAAATCACACCAGGCTTGTGTGTATGCATGCCAAAGATCTGGGAGGAGAATGGAGGAGAAGCGATTGCAGCATGGCCATGCCTCTATGGTGGGTGATTTCTCACTTTTCCTCTCAACTATGTCTGTCTCTCTCTCTCCATGAGTGCACGTGTCCTAAGGCAAAATCCTCTAAAATAAATAAATAAATAGAATTAATATTTTGTAAGCCCAAAAGGGAATTTGTATTTTTACTCACTACATATACAAAATAATTTTTTTCTCTCTCTGAAAAAACAAACTTAACTGTCATTTGTGGCCTGATAGAATTAATGGAGACAGAACAGACTGGTCTAGTGAGATACTGAGTCAAAGGGAGTCTGGTATAGGGAAAAACAGTATGTAAAGCAGGCAAGGCAAAACACACTCACACGTGAAAGATAAAAGGTAATTTCACTTTTGGGCACTATGGATAGTACAGAATTGTCATGTACAGAATACAAGTGCATACACACTGTGGTGTAACATTACATTATTTTACTGTAATCCATTTAAAATTTTTATTATCTTGTAATAAAGCAGGATAAGTGCTAATTCAATGAGTTAGTACTGACAGATTCAAATCATACCCAGACCTGAATGTATTGGAGCTTTTTTGACTGAATCAGAAAAGGCAGCCTTCAAAAGAAATGCAACAACTTCAAAGTCAGAGATAAAACTGCAATTCCTCTTGACTATTTGACAGCCAAATCACCCTTATATTCATTATTTATACCCATCACATGCTTTTACTTACCTAAGAAAAGACTTGGTTGGATAAATTTCATGGACAATAGGGTTTTCCAGGTAACTGAAGCTGCTGGTCTCTCGGTTGGCTAAGTCAATTTTCAATTTAACAGGAAACTCAGTTGAAATAGTTTGCGCTGGGGTATAACATTCAAGAATACTATTTGACACACTGAACAACAACAAAAAAAATGGACCTTAGTTATTAGAGATACACATATTTTAGAATTATACCCATAAATCACAAAGATAAAAAACTTTAGTGGCTCTCAAATGAGAATTTCCTGGGGTTATCTAGAAAAACTGCCATAGCAATGGTGAATAATGCCACAGTAAACATGGATATACAAGTGTTTTTCTGATTGAGTTCATTCCTATCCTTTGGGTAGATACCCCAGAGTGGAATTGCTGGATAGTAGTTCTATTTGTAGGTCTTTGAGAAACCACCATGTTGTTCTCCACAGTGGCTGTACTAATTTACATTTCCACCAACAGTGTAGAAGAGTTCCTTTCTCACCATAGCCTCTTGAGGGTGGGAAAAGGGGAGGGTATCAAAAGGAAAAAGAAAGAAGCAAAACATTTAAAAGATACAAAAATGAAAACTCATCTGTGGATGACAATGTGTATGGTAGTATCTTTGGACTAATACACAGTGTATTCATTATGGGAAAATTCACGTGGTATGCTGTAATGATATACAGTGATTGAATGTAAATAAAAGAATAAAAGAAAAAAAAAAGGGCCTTTGTAGCAGAGGCTGTTTATATTTGTTTTGGCTGGATCCCAAAATTAGCCTTCTTGTAGACAAGTTATTCTTTTTTTTTCTTTTCTTTTCCTTCTTCTTTTAACATTTGATCACTATGCATCATTTGGCTTGTAAAGAGAATTTATCCAACATGAAATACATCTCAGACCAGTCCAGTTGAGAATACTGTACACGTTATCATCGATAGGTAGTAAACCATTTCTCTGTCCCACAAACGTCTTACCTCTCTATTTTTTCATTCCTTTCCCTATCCTCTTCCCTTTCCCCCCCACCTTCCACACTGCCTCCAGCACCCATAGATACTTTCTCTTCTTTTATGCCCTCCAATCTTTCGGCCTCTACCACAGAATGTGGACAGTTGGTATATATTGAGTGGAGACATACAATATCTTTCATAGCCTGGCTTGCTTCATTCAGCAGTAAATCTTCCATTTCCATATACGATCACTTTTTTTTTTTTTTTTTGAGAGGTTTATGCTACAGGGTGCATGCGCTTGCCAGAAAGAGAGAGACAGAAAGTGAGAAATCACCCCCCAGGGGAGATGGCCACGTCGCAATCCCTTCTCCTCCATTCTACTTTTGAGATCTTGGGCATGCACGCATACAAGCCCAGAGTGAATTTAAGCCACCGAGTCTGGGACTCAAACCGCATTCGACTACATGGGAGTCCAGTGACATAGCCATTACGCCAACTGCTGGTCCCCAGGGTCTTATTGTTTTTTTAAGGCCGAATAGTATTCCACAGAGTTTACATGCCACACTTTTTATACATTCATCCTTTCTTGAACATTTGGGTTGGCTCCATGTTTTAGCAATCCTGAATAATGCTGCAATTAAACATTGTTATGCAGGTACTTTTCTGACTGAACATTCATTCTCCTGTCTTTAGGGTCAATACCCAGGAGCGGGATTGCTGGATCTTGTGGTAGTTCTATTTGTAGATCTTTGAGGAACCTCCACAATGGCTGGACCAATTTACATTCACACCAATAGTGTAGGAGAATTCTTCTTTCACCACAACCCTGCTAACACTTACCATTTTTTGCATTTTTAATCTTTGCCATTCAGACAGGGTAGAGAAGCCATTCTTGACTTAAAAACATTTGTGATTTTAAGCAACTTTTTAAGTACTTTTGGTACTCGATTAAGACAGAACTCTTCTAAGAGGCAGAAACATAACCTTCCAAACCCAGTCTCCCCTGTGTCTTGTCTTCCCCAAACAACTTAAGTCTAACTGGAATTACTGGTGGAACTGTTTAATTTCTTATCAATTACTAGACTCACAGCTCATGGTATAGCTAGGATTTCTAGATATTTATAATAAAGAGGACAGATAGGAAGACAAAGATGAAAGTGGGATTAATCTATAAGAAGAAAAAGTCAACAAATGGAAATAGACAAATTTGTGAAGCAGGATGTTTTATCAGCAGAAGAGTAAATAATAAATAAACATCTTGATTTTTCTCCACAAAAAGAGAACAATCTTTGCTTCATTTGTTGATATTGATTTAACTCGATGGATGCAACATGAATAAATTTACAATACCTTTTTAAAGTACATGTTTTTCCACCAATTGAAATGTGTCTAGAAGTCCCACTGCTTAGGTACTTTCCAGTTAAAGTAAGTAAAGTGCCGCCAGCCTTTGGACCATAGCTTGGAGAAAGACTTGTAATGATAGGATCCTGAATGGGAGAGGAAAAACAAAACAAAGTAACTTCTTAATTTTACAATTTTAAATAGGTTGAAGGTTAAATTTTAAATAGGTTAACTTTATAATTTTTAGTTAAGGTTAAGTAAAAATCAAACATTCTCATTCGTTAGTAATGTTTAGACTTACCACATAAGAAAATGTATTATATTGTGTTGTCCCTCGGCCATTTGAAATAATTATGGACATATTAAAATGCTCAGTCATTAGAGGACCAACTGTACATTTCAACCTTTAAAAAAAAAGTTTAATATGTTACAAATCTAAAGTCATTTTCTGATAAAGCTGTTTTACATGAAGGGACATGAATTCTAAATTGTAGCTCATGTTCTGAATAGCATGCAACTTTCATGATGAGTGTTAAGGCTGAACATTGTATAATTCTATCACTGTACTATTACACTAAAATTTATTATGTTGACCGTACGATAGCATTTATACAGACAAAACAGGAAATGTTAGAGCTCATCAAGGCATACCACACTAATTGAAAAGTGCTTAGCAAATGATGTCTAAGCCCATAAAATTGTAGAAGAATGTTTGGCATACTTTTTCACTAGCATATGAAACAATAGATTAACTACAAATAAACCAATTTTCCTCATTAAAATATATCAACAGGTACACATCTGTGGCTATACTTGTCACATATTTATTTTAAATACTTGAAGAATGAAATTGCGATTTACTTTTCACAGAATTATTATTACTAGTAGTATTTTTTTAGACAGATTTTTACTACAGGGCACATGCTAGAAAGACAGAGAGAAAGAAAGTGAGAAATCACTCCCCAGGAGGGATGGCCACACCTTAATTCCTTCTCCTCCATTCTCTTCTCAGGATCTTGTGCATGCACAAACATGGGCCTGGTGTGAGTTTCAAGTTGCCAGGTCTGGGACTCAAACCACGGTGTACTGTGTGGGAGTTCAGTGATGTAACCATTACATCATCTGCTGGTTCCCACAGAACTTTTTGAATAAATAATCTTGTATTTATTTATTTATTTTGCTATAGGGTGCATCATGTGCTTGCCAAAGACAGAGAGAGAGAGAGAGAGAGAGAGAGAGAGAGAGAAAGTGAAAAAGCACTCCTCAGGGAGAGGTGACCATGCTGCAATCCCTTCTACTCTATTTCTTCTCTCAGGATTTAGGGCACACATGCACACATACCATGCGTGTTTTTCAAGCCACTGGGTCTGAAACTTAAACCATGTAGTCAGCCACGTGGAATACAGCTTTTTTAACCACCATGCCACTGGCTGGCCCTAAGCCAATTATGTCATGGTTCCGGAAAAGCTTAAATATAATTTGTTTCACTAAATAATTTTTTTTTTTTTTCTTTAAGAGAGATTTTCACTGTAGGGTGCGTGTGCTCGCCAGACAGACAGAGAGAGACATAGAGACAGAAAGCGAGAAATCACCCCCCAGGGGGGATGGTCACGCCGCAATCCCTTCTCCTCCATTCGCCTCTCGGGATCCTGGGCACGCACGCACACGCGCCCGGCGTGAGTTTTAAGCCACCGGGTCCGGGACACGAACCGCGGTCGACTACGTGGGATCCAGCGACATAGCCATTACGCTAACTGCTGGTTCCCTCACTAAATAACTTTTAAAAGAAAAAAATAAATTATATTTCACCTTTACATGTCCTAATTTATAATGTAATGATTAAGAATTTTAGAGAACTGAGACCAGCAGATGGTGTAATGGCTACGCTGCTGGACTCCCATGTAGTCAATCATGGTTTGAGTCCCGGATCTGGTGTCTTAAACTCACACTGGGCAAGTGTACATGTGTGCCCAAGATCCTGAGAGGAAAATGGAGGAGAAGGAGTTGTAGTGTGGCCATCCCCCCCGGGGGGGGGTGATTTCTCATTTTCTCTCTCTCTCTGTCTTTCTGACGAGCACACATGCCTACAGCAAAAATCTCTCAAAAAAAAAAAAAGTTTTAGATAACTTACAAGAGAGATTTCTAGAATTAATTTTTCTATTAGACTAACAAATATGACATTAATTGATGTTTTGATTTCAGTAAAATGAACACATCTGATCCTTCATGTAACCCTGGAACAAACTGTAATATGTATAAAATAACCACTTAATAGAATAGGTTCAATAACAAAGATTCACCAATAAAACTAAAAGTATTTGGTTGTTGTTACTATATGGTAACTAATAATTTCTGGATTCTCTGTTCATTATGGAATTCAGAGCTCGTAGAAGGTGCATACAGACCATAGTAGGCTAAGCACTGGCCTTGGATCAGAAGAGTTGAGCTGAAGATCTACTAAACTCTTATTCTCTGTATTACCTCTGCTAAGCTACACTAAATTTTAGTTCTTCCTTTATAAAATATTGGAACCTCTAGGGACTTCCAAAATGGTTAAATGAGACACACCCCACAATTATAGTATGAAAAAGTACTAGCTGAATATAAGTTTAAACTCATCCAAAGTCTAAAAAAATGTGATATAGCTGCTTCACTCTCTTTCCAAAGTTTAGAAAGCATATTTAGAAGAGAGGATCTCTACTGAGCTGTTTATTGATTTTTACAGAAAAAAGCCTTTGGAGAGCCTCTATTTGAAGATTCTAAAGTAGGAGAGACCTTAACTAATGCTACTCTTCAACTAGTGCTGTTCTTTCAGATCTACCCAGACAATTTCTGAAGAGTTGTGACATAAATGGTTGAAAACCTCTCAGGGCTGGCATGTGGTGTAGTGGTTAAAGATGCTGTACTCCCACATCGTTAGCCATGGTTTGAGCTTCAGACCTGGCAGCTTGCTTTCTCACTCTCTCTCTTTGTCTCTCTCTGTCTGTTTTTCTCTGGTCAAATTAAAACAAATAATGATAAGTTAAATAAACTAATTCTTAAATACAACAACAACAACAACAAAAAACCTCTCTAGATGCTGAATTCTTATCTTCATCCAAGCCATGTCACCTTTCTCTCTCCTTAATCCTGGTATGTAAATAGGATTAAAAGAACAAAATGAAACAAGCCTACAAGGGATGTGACAGGCCAAGATTGTTTTTAACTCAAGAGATGGGCATTGTTTACAAATATTTTGAACATTGTTTAACAAGTATTAATTCAAAAACAAAACCTGTTTTCCAAGCACACCCCAGCAAAGCATTTTAAATCCTTACATATTTTTTGTGCTCTCACTTAAGGTCAAGGTGCAGCTCTCATTTCCGAGGAAAACTCTAGTTTTCTTTAAATCGAATTTATTATTCTTTCTGAATCCAAAGTCCCAGCCACATATGGTCAACGTTGTCCCTCCTTCAAGGGGTGCACTAGTTGGGAAAACCTACAAGAACAAAATAGAACTTAAAAAAAAAACCCCACATATTTTTATTTTTCATATACGTAGAGAAATAACAAAATAAATAAACAAAATATGTATCCTTAAAAAGCCTGAAATTCTTCTGCTCTCCCACAACCTATTAGGTCATTGGGAAAGGCATGGTGCAGTTTTCTGTTTTTATGCGAAAATGTGCCATGACTTTCCCAATGACCCAACAGTAAAAATTGAATTTTCAAAAAAAGAAAAAGGGTAGCAAATTTTAGGACCTCTGGAACAAATATTCATACTATCCAGTGAGGCCAGATGGTGACACAGTGGTAGAATGTAATGCTCTGCAAGACAGTCTGAAGTGGGAAGGTTCCCGGTTCAAGCCTGGAGACCTCCCTGCATTTGCTAGACATAAGAGTGCCTATGATCCTGTCTCTTCATATTCATGGAAGAAATAAATAAATAACAAAAATAACACAAACAAAAACTACCTAACATGTTGATGAAATAAGCTGTTTTCCAGAGATTCAGAGATATGACAAACAGAAGATTCAGCTTGGATGGAAATCGAGGACCCTTTTGGGCCACCTGAAGTGAATTAATCTTCTAGGGAATCTTTGGTGCAGAAGTAGATGTACTTTGGGATCAGACTTCTACTCACTGATAACTATATTATAACTCCTTCATGGGCCTCCAGATCAAACTCCAATCAAACCTCTTTCATGGGCCCTGTAAGCCAAGGTCCAACACAAGCCCTGCTCTATGCAGCAGCTGCTAGCGTGCTGCATATTGTAGCTACGTATTTCTTAACCAGAGAAGAAGGTCACATAGTAAACACACATTTTTGGGGGAGGAGGATGAGAGAGTTCAGAAGAAAAGAATTAATAGACACAAGCATTCACATAAACAAGTCAAATAGGTTATGGAATATCATACCAATAAGAGTAAAAGAATGTGGTTGAAAATGTAATATATACATCTAAAAGAAAAAAAAAAAGACCTTATAGGGTGCTGGACATTCTCACAAGGCCAACCACGGTTTGAGCCCCAGACCTGGTGGCTTGCTTCCTCACTTTTCCTCTAGCTCTCTCTCTCTCTGTTTCTCTCTCTGGTCAAATTAAAATAAGTGAATGAATAAATAAAATTAAAAAAAGAAGGAATATTCAATGTGCACAATAATGTAATGTCCAATGTTGAAGATGATGAATATGTTAACATCTCTGATTTAATTGTCATACACTGGATACATGCTTTAAAAAAAGCATACTTTGCCCCACAAAGATGCACAATGATTACACGTGAACCAGAAATTAAAGGGAAAAAACCCACACTTCATTCACTATTCAGTGTTTACACAGTTGCATTTAGCAGCTATCATAATGCCAAACACATAGATAGTATTCAATACATTATCTGTCAGTCATTCATTCATTATATTTATTTATAAAGCACCTCCTATGGGTCAGGCATGAACAAATAAATAAATGAATCTGCTTCTTTGTTTCACTGTTTATGATTGATGTGTTCACATATCATATATCATGCATGAATGAGAGAGAGAGAGAGGAAGGGAGGGAGGGAGGGGGAGAGAGAAAGAGAGAGAGAGAGAGAAAGAGAGAGGGAGAGAACCACCTTTGGCAGGATCTCATCACCCCATGACTCCCTCCCCCTGCTGTCCAGATCTTCAGGATCCTGGGCACCTGACTGTGCACCAAGTATGTTTTAAGGCAGCCTGGGGACCTGAACCCACTGTTGGCATGTGGTTGCCACCTTGAAGAGCACTGTGATACCACTATGCCATGTCAGCTGGACCAGAGGCTACTTCTTATAATTATTAATTCACTTCTATTACGAATTTAAATTTTTCTTTGTTTTTTTTTTTCACATGTGAGAGGACTTCAAAATGGTCATGACAAAACAGAATTAAAGTATGAGTTTATTTTAGTGCAAAAAATAGAAATCTGTGCATAATTTTTCATGATAAACATTTTCCATGAACTTTTAAAGATCCTCTTTGCATGATCCTATCTGATGAGTTGACACACCTAGCATTTAAAAACTTAAAATACATATTTAATATATACACTATTATTTCTATTCAAAAGAGAAACAGAATTGGAGCGAGCCCAAAATCAGTATCATGAAAATTTTCCTAATGATCTCTATTGGCATTATTTTACATCTAATTTTTAGGACTCTTTTCCCCTATGCTTAATTAATGCTCAATGTTAAATAAATGATAGGTTCATTTTATTAATGTAGGCTCACTATAAGATAGCATTAGGGACTTACAGTCTCTAAGACAACTGTTCTTAGGCTAAAACTATTAAAACAAAACACATTTCCAAGTTAAAAATAAGCTTCTCCTCGGCAGCTTTGTGACAATTGGGGAAGGAAATGCTCTTTTTGGGGGTTGGATATATTGTAAATTGTGCTGTAAAGCACAATGGTGGGAAAACGGAGCACCAAAATGAGGCAACTCAAAAACGAGTCAAAGTATTTGCTAAAGCCCAGTTTGTAAGAGTTTAAAAGTAATTCTTTTACAATTAGGACAGGCTTTTAGCAAAATTCAAATTTGCAAACATTCCCATCCTTTCTAAGTAAATAATCCCCAGCCAAAGTCTTAACTTACCCTTGTTACCAAACCCCTTTAAAGTCTTAGCTTAATGCTTTTATGATAGCCATTTTACCCATAAAAATCCATTACACAGTTGTGCCTTTCATGAAAATTTACCTCGCCCTTGTCTAGCCAAATGAGAACTGCTAGAAAAAAGTCTGTTTATTATTATGTTGGAAATCCAGTAGGAGAGAACAAGATAGCCGACCTTCCCAGGACTCAATTCAGCCTGCGGCAGTCACACAGCTGCAATTCCCTCTTCTAATGAGGAGGCTTCCCCATTGAAAACAGCTGCCCAAGGCTGATGTTGGTCTGATCCTATTGTCTACATCCCCCTTTTCTTCGTAAAAATAGGTCTGTCACTCTACACTCATCATCACTTTTCTAAAGGGCAAAGAGAGTGGGAGATGGTTTGAGAAAACGCACTGAACGTTATTCAATTGGTGCACTGGCAGTAAAAATGGGTAGAGGACCACTATGAGACTTCAGGATTCAAAGCCCAGCTCTGCTCAGCTTTCTCTCTGGACTGAGCATTTTTTCCTTAGCTTACAGGGTAATCTTCACTCTTCCAGGAAAAAAGGAAGGAAGCATCAAGGACTACACACCCTTGGATAGACACGACAATGGAATGGCAAATTCTGAGTTGTACTTAAAGGCGGAGAAAAACTGCAGCAGGAAGTCAGTGGTTGGCACAGAGCCATGAAGGTGAGGTCTCCTACCTGTCCGGATACGGGAGATGCAGACACAGAAATATCCCTCATCCTTCCACAGGTTAAAGATCACTTTGCTGATGGGCTCATTCCAATATAGCATTTGATTTGATTTAGAAAGTATATATTTATGTTTTCAATGAGAGGGAAAGAGGTACCCACAACAGGGTTTTCATGCCATGGTTCATTCCCAGCGTCAGTCAGCCTGAATCACAGGTACACATATGTGTGCCTGGTGTGTACAGGGACCTTGGGAGAAGAACCCAGGATCTTCCCATGTTGGTTCAGTTGTGTTACTGCTGTACATCAGGCCCCTCCAACGGCATTTTAAATAACCATGTATTCAAAACTTAAGACATGGAAAAAAACAAAACAAAACAAAACAACCACCATCAAAAAGAACTAAACTCTAGAAATTAAAATCGACGATGGATACCTCTTTTCCTCTTTATAGAAAAAAAAAAAGTGAAAAAGTAACAAATATTGCCTGCAAACTCTCCCATCCCCATAAGATAATGCTTTTGCTTCTGATCTGAGTCTTCAGATCAATTACTAATGAGTTTTATTGTCTCGCTGGGATTGAATTCAGTCCTGCTAGATATGATAATATTATCTTTATAAGTTCAGAATACATTGCAAAGTGCTTTCTTTTCTGAAGCATTTTTCATTGCTCTTTAAGTATAAGATCAGATGACACATTTGAAACAGAATAATGGGCTTACAAGCCTGCAACATCTCATATCTGGAACTGCAAAGAATTTGAACCACTGAACATCATGTACCTTGAAAAGCAGGTTAACCTGCATGTATTGAAAAGTGAAACTCTATACATTAGCTGGAGTTTCCGCTTGCAGAGTTTAAGACAGATAAGAAAAAGATGAATACTCTGTCTTATTTTTTGCAGCAAGAATGCTAGATGTCACGGTTTGGCGCAGCATGAAATTTTCCTAACAACTATGAACCGAGAGGGATTTATGGACTCAGCTGCACAACTTTCCTTCTAAATGTACAGCCCAAGCCTCGACAGGCTTGTACATGATACAATGGGACCTTTTAAAACTTCCAACTACAGGGTGCTGGAGGTAGGAGAGGTGAAAGAGGAGGGAGATTTGAATATTATAAGACATTCTCTGGCTCCAGAAAACTCTACGATATTTATTCTGTTTTTCACCATTATAATATAGTTTTCGTGATTACTAAAAGGAAGCACACAGGTCGACATTAAACTGTTTTGTCTGTATGAGTTACTAACAAGCTTTCCTTCTTTAAAATTCCAGCTTAGCTATTTTTGAAATGAAATTGCACATTGTTGGATTAATTGTGTGCACTCACACACACTCTCCATGTTCTCTTTGTTGACATTGCGGAGTTCAGATTTCTCGTGTCTTGAATAGCCAAGAGTGTGTTTATAAAAGCAAAAAATTGCATTTGGTTTAAGAAGTATATAACAACAAAAAGAGTGCGCAAGTACTATGGTATAGATTTAAATGTGCTTTCTTACTCTCTTTTAATTTATTCATTGGCTCATCAAACTAAGTCTTAATAATTGTGTCACACCTAACAGAAAATGATTTGGTTTATACCCCAGTCACCCACTACAAATCTTGCCCCAAACCGTAACTAAATGAAAACAGCCATACGCTTGGGGTGGTTCTTGCTCCGACTCGTATACTTTGTTTACTTGGGCACAAATCAGGCGACTGAGACCTTTAACTTGAATCTTTCATAAGAGCCCTTTACTAAAGTCCAACTGTTCCACATGCAGGCAGAGGAAATGCATACTGGGCCACAACCAGGGAAATGTTTTCAAGCCAAATGTATTTGGACCTAGAAGTTTTTTTAAAAAGTTGCATGGCAATTTTCACAGCATCAAACATATGCTTAAGGAAATGAGGCCACAGAGTTAGAGAGCATGGTTGCAATGCCATGGTTGATGCCCATTTCTAGAAGCTAAGTTCTCAAACAGCAAGAGGTGTATTTGTCTAGTTGTGGACTATATCCTCCCAGTGACTGGAAATGGTGTGTACTCAATAGATGTTTTTAGAACGTGTTGAAGAATGAAATGGTTTATGGAAGTTCAGATGTTAGGACAGTCATCATCTGAGCCTTTAGGACAGTACTTCAAAAGCTTCATGGAAAAGTGGAATAGACGTACAGATTTATTTTGGAATAAATATTTTTGAAATTCACATATAATTTTTTTCACAATAAACACTTTCTCCTGAACATTTGGAAGACTCTTCAAACTTCTCTTTCAGGAACACTGAGAGGACTCATAGCCACTCATGGATGTTGACCCTCCACTAACCTCTACATTGCCCTCGAAAATAACCTTTAGTCTCATCTGTGATGAGACAAGTCTGCCACCTATGTCTCCAACAAGAAGAAACCTTCTGTCCTATCCAATCATGCATGGCTAGGGTTGCTGGACTGCATGGTTCAATTTAGGATCCCAGAGTATGCCATGAGCAGAACTGTTTCTGTATTTGGGGCTCATGTCTGGGAACCTGGCAGATAAAGTAGGTGGTGACAAATATAGAGAATAGGGGAGCCAGGAGGAAACAGGTCCCAGTGTGAGGAAATGGGAAGCCATGTCTATCATGAGCCTCCACTCTTATTCACATGGCTCTAAGGGAGAACAGCTGTCCATGAATAGAACCTAGTGCATGTGAAGCAAGCATTTCAGTGCAGGACTCAGGGAATGTGCTCAGGAGGGAGATGGTGCTTTAGTTGAGGTCTTATAGCTACTTGAATCAAGTGGACATTTTCTTTTTGGTGGGATTTGTGTTTACCAAAAAACATGCAAACAGATGACAGAGACTCCTACCTTATGGATTGCAGGTAGACAGAGCTCTTGAGTCCAGGTCCCGCTGGGACAATCCTCCAATTGCACACATTTATCATGACACCAGCCACACTGCACAAAGGGAGGGGCAGAGAGACACTGACTGCAGGATTGGAAATGTCCACAGCCCAAGCCATTTAATGGGATCTTGGTGAGCTGTGAAGAAAAAGAATAGAAAGAACTTCCAGGGGAGTTTTTGGTTTGCTTGTTAAGTAAAAACTGAATACATAAAAGATATATGTAAATACCAGGGTACTTCAAATAGTTAATAAAAAATGGAACTATAGTTCTAGTTCACTTTGGTGTGGAAAATTCCCGAAATCCATGCATAATTTTTTTCCACAATAAGCATTTCCATGAAATTTTTGGAGACGCCCCCCCTTGTATTACTTTATGGAGTCTACTAGAAATAGTACCTATGTGTACAAATCATGTGATAATGGTTAAGTGATTAAAATTTTAAAAATTAAATTGAAAAAAAAATTAAATTGCTTCTTTCCTAGTCTTGTTACATATGTAATAAACATTAACGTGGCTCTTCAGTAAACATGAACATTGTCATTCAGTATTAGAGGTTTTATAGTCATGATATTTTGCCCTATCTGGGATGATTTAAAAATAATAAGAGAGTATAATTTAAGCTTTAGGAAAACACACTGAACCCCTGGAAAAGTCTAAGTAAGGTTAGGTATCATTCCGGCACAAAGACCCACAATTCTCTGTCAGAGGAAAGGGATTACTGGTGGAGTCAGATTACAATGCACATTTCCAGAATTTATCTGCCTGCCCTAGGGTTCTGCCATTAGGACTGTAATTCTCATTCTGTGTGTTTGTTTTTCTCATTGAGAAATTTGGGACAAAAGAAGCACACATTATGAAAATGGACTGTTTGGGGTCCAGTCTTCTTGACTAAAAAACAACTTGATTTCAGATCTCTGGAACACTCAAGAAAAAATTTAATGGAGGAGAGGTGAATATAAGACAAAGAGAGAAATTACGATAGGGACTAAATGACACTGGCTGGAAATATCCATTCAGTAAGAACCATGTCCATGGAAACTTTCCATGGGAATAGGGTTTACCTTCTTCCCAGTGACAACCAGTGTGTAGCCACTTTGGTTTAATCGTTGTTTCACAATCATATCTGGAGACACAGGGTGGGAATCCAGGTGAAAATTCACATGAGGAGTTGATCCAGATCTAGAAAGTTCAACCTGAGAAACAAAAAAAGAAACACCCTTATTCTGGCAAGCTCAGTTTAACATAAGTAGAAAATGTGAATGATAGCGGTAATAACAGATTTTTTTTTTTTTTTTGAGAGGTTTTCGCTATAGGGCGCGTGCGCTCGCCAGACAGACAGAGAGAGACATAGAGATAGAAAGCGAGAAATCACCCCCCCCAGAGGGGATGGTCACACCGCAACCCCTTCTCCTCCATTCTCCTCTCAGGATCTTGGGCACGCACGCACACACGCCCGGCGTGAGTTTTAAGCCACTGGGTCCAGGACGCGAACCGCTGTCGACTATGTGGGAGTCCAGCGACATAGCCATTACGCTAACTGCTGGTTCCCAGGGGTAATAACAGATTAGCAGAGCTTGCGAATGTCTAACTAAAGACCCAGCAGTTCATCTGGTTTGTAAATCAATATGACATGTTCTAATCTTCTGCCTTGAAGTCAATTTAGCTGAACCCCTAAGACCAACTTCTACCTATGCTCTTTTAGTGATTTCTAGGGAAGGAGACCTCCCAGTCAATCAGCCAGCACTTTCAGACAAATCCTCACAATTGTTTTGGGAATTTAAGGAGCCAAAGCCCTCTCCAGGAAGAAGATACCATATATGATATACGGATTTTGGATTATGTTTTAAGCTCCTCTCAATCTTCCCCACCAGGCATTCCTTTGACGTAATGCTAAGAGTAGAGAATAGAGAATCTGGAAACCTGGAGCTTCTTCCAACTTTGCTACACTTAAGTCATATTTATAAGTCTTCTGAGATCAAAATAGACCCCTAGCTACTTTGAAATGGTGTGTCGTATTTTTTTTATAAACCATCATCCCATGATATGTTATAACTTGAATTATAAATAAAGTTCTGCATCTTGGCCTGGCTTTAAAATAAGACCTTATGGTTTTAACAATGTCTACAAAATGAGGTTTGATGACTGGTGTCATTCTTACTTTCAGATATTTCTAATTTGGGATGTTGCCTAACTATGTATTTCCATCTGTTCTGTTCCTAGAACCCAGTATTAATGAAGCTCAGAGGTTGTGATGGGATAAAATCAGGACTGTTTCAATTGAACACTTAGATTTTAGGGAGGTTTAAGAACTCTCAGAAAGACTTTCACTTTTAAGTAGGTCATTGGGTTGCTCCTATACCCTCATGTCCACCTTCATTATACATGAGCGTGAAGGAGGCTGAGACACAGCTCTGGCCTGGAGATCTACTTTGGGAAATTGCCTGATATACAAACACTTTTTACATTGCATAGAAACCAGGGACACAGACAAAAACACAAACATCCATAGGAAGATTTTATATTGCCTGGGTCTGAAACCACAGAACATGGGCATTTGAGAAATCTGAAGAAGACTTATACAACATTAAGATTCTTGCAGAGATACATGTAATTATGAAATTATTGGAAATGTTCTATGCTAAGTGATACATATCATTGAGCGATTTTCTCATAATGTAAGGGAATAGGAAAAATTATAATAAGATTATCAGACTTTTATAACAAAACAAAGCTAAGAAAAAGAATCTTCGTATATTAAAAAAAAGCTACTGATGGGATCTTTTTATACATGGCTAAATTTTGAGACTTTCTTCAACCACCTATATGCTCTAGAAATTTCTGTTCTCCCTGTTCACAACCAAATGTATAATAGAAATACTTGATATTGTTTTTCTCTCTGTGTGTGAAATAACAAATCATTGAATATGTGATTGGTTATGTATTCTATTAAACACTAAAAAATAAAACATTCACTTCTTTCCAAAGACAAAGATTACTCAACCACTTTTTCCACTTCAGCTTTCTCATTCATAAAATGGGAATGAAAATTACAGCAGTAATTAACACTTGTGCTCTAACATACATAAGTTTAAAAGTCCTAGGGAATAGTAGTAAACTTTTTCTTCAACACAATAAAGGAGCCAAGCAGCCTAAAGCAATTTGGGGGAATTCCTTAAGTACCTAATTTGTTCCCAGAGAGTGGATTGTTGATAGAGAAACTAACCAAGCTCCCATAGAGCCTTAAAAGCTAAACATGATGACATTTTTGCTTTAAGGTCTGTTCTACCCCAAACACTCTACATTTTCAAAACATCTCCATGAAGCTGGGTGGCTATATTTGCACAGAAGTTAAATAATAGAGCAAAGGTCATCTAGTCAGGATGGGAAAGGACAGAAACTATTGTCATTTCCTAAATTTAGGGTCCAACAGATATTTGAAAAGAAGTTCAATTACCAGGTATACAACTCTCTGGGTGCTGGTTACAAGCAGAATATCAAATGTCAGAATTCCAAAGTCTCTATTCCAAATTATCCAGATTTCAGTTATCCAATTCTGCAATCTTAACTCCCTTCTGGTGCTCACCACCTCTCATTTCTTGTACCCCTTCCCATCTTCCTCTTGTATTTCTTGATAATTGCCAATCACTTTAAACTGCAAAGGTGGAGGAAAAATCCTTTTCTTTGGATGGCTCCATGGTGCAGCTGTAATGCACTGTTCAAGAGAAGCTAGATCCCACAAGGTGAACCTGGTTCAAATCCCCTGCCTATTCTGGTCAGCCTGAATCAGTGGGTACATGCACAAGTGCTCAAGATCCAACAGTTTGGAGGACTGAAGGAAGGGAATTTCATTATGACCAGACCCTGGGGAGAGAGCTCCCTGTCTCACTCACTTTCACATGCATGTGCATATGTTCTATCATGAATAAAGAAAAAAAACCCTCTTTTTCTCATGTACAAGTCAAAAACAATACAAACACCATCCTTTCTTAATACCCTGAATCTTTTCCCATCTCATTTGGTACTTTCTACTTTGCTGAACTTTATTCATCACTTTGAACTTTCCTACGGATATTTGTATTTTGTGTCTGTGTCCCTGGTTCCTTCCATTTTTTGCAAACCTGCTTCATGACAATCACCTCTCAGAGCCCTTTTTTCCTCTTACCTTCTCTCTGTTTCATAGTATTTATTATTATAATTAGCAATGCCTTAATTAAAAGTCAAAGGTCATCATCTTTGACTTTATCAAATACCTGAAGCCCATGCAAACAGTCATTTTCCAGAAAGAATGAACTTTTCTCTTTCTTTTTATAAAGAAGCTATTTGCACTTCTGAACTTGGGTCAACTGGTAAGTGCACCTCCGTTAAGTTTTTTTTTTTTGTTCAGAGTGGACCATATATATGGTACTTTCATAACAGGTAACCACGTCAGGCATTGTGCTAAGTGTTTTTTTTTTCTTTTTTTTTGAGAGGTTTTTGCTATAGGGCACGTGCACTCGCCAGACAGACAGAGAGAGACAGAGAGACAGAAAGCGAGAAATCACCCCCCAGGGGTATGGTCACGCTGCAATCCCTTCTCCTCCATTCTTCTCTCGGGATTCTGGGCACGTATGCACATGCACCCGGTGTGAGTTTAAGCCACCAGGTCCAGGACTTGAACTGCGGTTGACTACGTGGGAGTCCAGCGACATAGCCATTACACTAACTGCTGGTCCCTGTTTTTTTTTTTTTTTAAAGAATAATTTAATTTAATTTATTCTTACTAGTTTTAAATTTTGGCCAGAGACAGAGAGAGGGAAAGTAAGAAAGCAAGATACCAGGTCTAGAACTTGAACCACAGTCAGCCATATGGGAGTCAAGGGTTTTAACCACCATGGCACCTCTTAGCCCCCCAGGCTACATGTTCTAAATAGAGATTTCGTTTATTACTCACAATAATCCCATAAGGTAGAGACTATCATTTTCCTTAAAGAAAGTCTGATAGAATTTTAGCTAGAAAGTACAAGAACCAGATTCTAAGGAGCTTATTTAATGCCAAAATCCATGCAGTTGACCTCAACTGCTAGATTCTTGGAGCACTAGAGTAAATACCAACAAAAAGCTTCAATTCTGATTTCTCAAGAGCCACTAGTGAGTCAAAGCACTACAACAAATTTCACAATATATTTACTTCGCCAATTACTCCTTATATCAGTAATGATGGCTGCACAAAGCAAGTGTGCCTAAGAAGAGAGCCTCTGCATCTAAATAGGTTTTGATAGCACAGAAGAAATGTTAGCGGCACAGCTAGTGAAGCTCTGCTTTTGAACATGAGCAAGGATGAGTATTTCTTGGTATAGAAATGGGACAAACAAGAGAAGTCAGAAAGGCCATGTGGAAAACTGAGATGATCATCTGGAATTTTGAGCAGAGGCTGTAGCACAGATACAAATACCTTATTAGCTGATCATTAGCTGGTTCTCTGCAGGGATACTTCCTGCTATAAAATGCCAAGAATATTTTATATCATTAATTCCTCACTTTCTCTTATTGCTGGAAATCTAAATAATTGACTAACACTTTAATTCTCAAAATACTCCTGAAGCAATGTTTGCAAGAAAGTAGTTCCTTCTGGTTGTCATGGAGATGTTTCTAGGGACAGAACTGAACTTGGCATATAAAATTAATTCTTAGGATAAATCACCTGGTAATCTTAGAACAAACAGTACAAAATAGAAGACTAGCGATCTTCTAGACTCCTGAAATATTCAGAAAAGAAGCCATTTAAAGCTGAGGTGTGTCCTGGTCTGTTCAGCTATGCTCTAAACTCCATCTTCTAGATTCCTGAAATATTCAGACAAGGTAGGGTGACCTCTGTCCTCTCTCTGTCTCTGGCTGGCTGTCTTGTGCTCTCTCTCTTTAAATTTTAAATTAAAAAAATTTTTTTTCAACCTCTTCTCCTCACCTTTCCTTTTCACTTGCTAATTTCAGAAGACATTTGAAAGCTGAGATATGTTCTGGCCTGTTCGATTTTCATTTTTTATATGTAAAAAAAATTTATTTTTCCTCTTTTTGGTAATATTTTTCTAGTTTTTCCTTTTTTTTTTACACCTTTCTTTCCCACTCTAAACTTCACTCACTACACACTGTATGTCTAGATAGGCCTTTGTGCACAGTAGCCAAGCATCTGAATACTATTAGAGTCATTGAAATCTTC